TATACAACATTTTATGTACGACCGAGATTTTTTTGTATGTATTCGAAATAGTTTTAGCTTTTTACAATAGACTAAATTAATAATTTTTTCGAATAAAGTAATTTTAAAAAGTGCCGTTTTTCAATGGTAATGAGTTTCGTTATGAGCTTATTAGATCACTAAGTACGATAATACAATCTATTACGTAACTCAAACATACTAATATGAGTTACGTAATAAGCTCTTACAGTGTGGGTCGTCCATAAATAAATTTGTCTTCAGTTTTGCAAATCACGTGGAAAGGTATAATGCAGCTGTCTTAAGAGTGAGAAGACTCAATTGAAGTTCAATTTATTTAAATAATTTAAAATTAATATTGTTGGTTCATGATTGTATTTTATGTGATCTATATAAACTCAGTGGGTTTATTCCATTAGGTTGAAATAAATAACGATGTTGATTTTTTTTCAAAATAAAATAATAATTGTTTGAAAAGTGAGGGTTAGTTTGAAATTCATTTTCGAAAATGTGAAATCAAATTTCGTTTATGAGAAATTGGTTTTCGTTACTTTGAAATCAGTTTTCATTTGAGCGAAATTAGATTTCTCTGATGTGAATTTAGTTTTCATTAATTTGAAATCCAATTTCACTAGTGTGAAATAATGCCGGAAATGGTATATACCATTTCCAGTTACCATTAGTTAGGATTCATAACACAACTAGTGGTGTTATGGACTAGGTTATGAATTCATAACAACTATTTTTGGTGATTTGACAAATGTCAAAGTTAAACCTGTAGAGGTAAAATGAAGGTAGACAACGACTAATAAACGAAAATCATTGAAAAAATATTCTTAGTTTTCGCTTTGTAGATAAAACGTTGTACATCACACGTTCGTTTAAACATGACTACAAAGCTCGTGTGATTAGAACGACTCGGTCTACGACCTCGTCTTTCTTATCTTTCACACTCGTTATTGTAATCATGTTCATAAACGCACTTGTAATGTAAATAACTATAATGACTTATGTCTCTAACTCATTGTTTCTTATGGAAAAACGGAATTAATTTTTTTTCTCCAAAACTATGAAAGGTAAAGGTATAAAACCTTATATCATTGGAATCAGCTCATAAAGAGCTATTCAATAAAAAAATAATATCCCATTAAAAAAAACACAACTTTGGTCAATATTCCAAAATCGGAGGCATCTGGAGAAAAATTAGTCACGCCACTGGATGCTCCTTGAAAAACTGCCTTTTCGTTTTTGGATATCTTGATTAATAAAGAAAATAGAAGTTTTTCTAAAATGGTGCAAAATTTGAAAAGTGCCCTGTATTTCCTAAACGCATTAGGTTAGCCGTGATTTGTCTTCGCCATTGTTATTTTCTCAAAAAAAAGAGCTCGAAAATGTGCTCCCAGATTTTTGATATCTCTGCTGGTTTTCGATATAGCCTATTAAAACATCGAAAGTGTCCAAATTGGACACTTTCTTATGGACACACCCTTTATTTTTAGAGATAGAAAAAAATGGATCCTCCACTCTGAGGCTCAGATTTCATGAAATCTTGATTGGTGCAAACCGAATTTTGATATCTTCAACCGTTTAGCCGCTAGAGAGCGATTCTCGATTTTGAGCAATTGGTACTCTAAACCCTTCATAACTTTTTTGTTTATGAAAATAATTGATTTCCGTAAAGGCTTTCTAGAAGCACTTACAGAAAAATAGAAGGAGGCCAAAAAAATAGTAACAAAGCGAATTAAAGCAGCATAAAACCAAACACTGGAGGGAACTATGCGAAGAATTCAATAGCGATATATGGGGACAGGGATACAAAATAATGGCAAAAAGGTTTGTAGGCACACCATTTAAAAATAAAATGACAAACAAAAGAAGAAGGGAAAAAATACAGTACCTTTTTTTCCGAACAGGGAGGACTTTCTACTAGAGAGAATGCCGACTGAAACTTCAGGAGATTTCACTATAGAGGAAATGAAGATTGCAGCACAGAGGTTGAAACCCGGGAAGGCCCCTGGCCCAGACGGGATTCCGCATGCGACGGTTAAAGAGCTGGTCAAGGTTGCACCAAAACCAGTTCTGGATCTTCTGAATGGACTACTGGCTCAGCAAGTTGTCCTTACGACTTGGAATCCAAACTGATACTCATCCAAAAGCCAGGAAAACACATAAAAGATCCAGGGTCTCACAGACCACTATGCCTCACAAATGCGGCTGCAAAGTTGTTTGAGAAAATGATAGGCTAATAACAGAACTGGAGGAAAAATGCTCAATAGTTAGAAACCAATATGGCTTTCAAAAAGGAAAATCGACAATATGGGCGGTAAAATATGTCACAGATATAGGAATGAGAATGTGGACTGGAGGAGTAGGAGAAAGATGGTGTGCAGTGGTAAATCTAGACGTAAGAAATGAGTTCAATACTGCGTCCTCGTCAATAATTCTGAGAGAACTGCATCGCCGGTAAGTGGACCCATATCTACAGAATATAATTAGGAACTACTTCACGAATCGAAGTATAAAGACAGAGTGGGACACTAGAGTTTTGACAGCGGGAATACCACAGAGATCTGTATTGGGGCCGCTCCTTTGGAACGTTTTCTATGACCTCGTCCCCTCGATAGATTACGGAGATGGTATAGAGGCAGTGGGCTATGCAGATGACCTGGGAACAGCTTATGGAGAGAATGGATGGGGTCTCCAGTGCCCAGTGGTGAAGATAGGGATGCGAAAAAATCACATGAAACTGGCAAAGACTGAAGCGGTAATCCTAAGCGGAAAAAGGAATAGGGAGCAAATATATTTTAAGATGGAGGAAGCACAGATAAGAAAAAATGATGACCATTACAAAATACAGGAAAAAATTGGAGAGTCTTCAAAGAAAAGCACTAATTAGAGTAGCGTGCGCATGTAGGACAATTTCTACAGAGGCGATTCAAGTCATATCTGGAGTCACTCCCCTTGCAACTATAAAGATGCTTCTTGGTTAGAACCAGAGATGTTAGAACTGATGTATTTCTTGCCACCTCGCGTCGAACGGAATTGACCGGCATGTCATTCGTTTGGAAGGTATCCATTATCCAGGTATTCCAACTTTGACTTGCTGCGCATGTTGCCCATTGTCAGTAGTGGTGAAGTTCACTCAGAAGAATCTGTCAAGAATCTAGTCAGTGTCCTTATTTTTGAAACAGGGGAGCAGTGTTCCCAGGAGAACGAGTGCTTCGACTTTCTCAATGATATGCAAACTATAATATAAATAAAAAAGACGGAACACTCGTTCTCCTGGGAACGCTGCTCCCCTGTTTCAAGAATAAGGAATCAGAGGTCTTGTTGACTCCCAAATGAACTCAGGATGTCCCATTATGATCTTCTTATAAAACTCGAACAACTTTTATCCTAGGCACGACCAATTACGTTTTGACTACTTTCTTTACCATCTGCACTATCCTAGAGGATCATTTCAGTAAAACATTTCTGACTAGCAAGGAGTCTCATTGAGCCCATGTTCAAAGTTAAAAAGCTTCTAGATTCTAGGTGATATTTTGTGCCAGGTTGGTCTGAGTTTGCAGAGATTCTTTTAGATTCAAAAATCGTTTGAAACCACTATCTTTGTATTGTAATTGCTCCATTCTTGATCTGTTTCAAATATGGGGTTTCTAATAGGAACTCCTGTTGATTTGAAAATTGTACTGGTTGTAAAGTCCTCCAGCCTTCTTGTCACCTGTCTTTCTGGTTGTTTCATCTTGTGCCAGAACAGTTCCGATACCCGTGTTGCTCGCGTCTGTGTTCAAAATAAATTTTTCATGTAAAGTCTGTTTTTTTTTTTAAGATAAAAGTCAAAATGACATTATGTTGGCAATACAATGTAAAATTGTCAATGCTTTCAAATTTTCTATGTAGAAGAGGCTTGTGTTACCAACATAGTTACTAAATTTTTGACATGGGGAATTATCTGATTGTCATTGCTTTCAAATTTTTTATGTAAAAAAGGTTTGTGTTGAAAACATAGTTACTTGCCTTTATTTTTCTCTCGCCAGTAGGTATATGAATCCTTTCAGGTGCCTGAAACCACGTGACCAAGTGAAAATGGAAATTTTTTAGATTGTCAGTAGGAATAGCAGGAAATGAATAAAATTTTAAATATAAAAGCAATAGGATTCAAGTTGTTTTATCATAATAAACAACTTAAATAATATTGGCCGCCTAAAACTAGGTCGCCACACCGGGCCTATCTTCATGAACGTCTGGAATAGGAGTCGGACACGGACAGGAGGCACACCATAGGATAGGTGTTATTCGATTCTAAATAAATGAGATTTCGGAAAATAGAGGTTGTCATCAAAGGCAACTTCAACGAAACCAACGTATTCAACGCGAGAACGACCAAATCCTGAACCTGGAGACGACAGCTCTAAGTAGGTAACTTTACGTATCAAACCTCAGAGATTTTGAGTATAGAATCTAAAAATATAATAATATCCAGGGTATCCTATTGAAAATTCGCAAGTCAAAGTCGACTACTTCCTGTCTGTAGAAAGTGACAAATTCTTGAAAGGATTTTAGTTCGATTGTAAACCCATTAATATTACTAGATTGCCAAATTCGCGAAATTTTCGTTTACATAATTTTTTTCAATCGATACAGTTCTTTATAGGATACCCTATTATGGGTAGTATTTTCATTAACTTTGTAGCCCTGCATTCGATATTTATTATTTTTCAAATCAATTGGACAATTTGCTAACCAGACCCACTTTGGATACCCTTTCAAAGAGAGACCTTATTTATAAGTATTTTATTGCACAAATTAGGTATTACTAAAGCTGTCACTGTTCAAACCAAAACATTAAGAACAAATTTTGATTAGGTACTGCGCCACTGAACTTTAAACATTTTAAACAAACACGCTTTTTTGTGTGCATTTTTGTATGTGCGCTTGCACTTTGTCTGCGAATTTTATACCCAAAATTCTACATTCGATATCCTCATTTGCGAACCAGAAGTCAACCGTTAACCAGCAGTGCAAATTGGCTGAAATATTTTTCAAAAATTTATTGACTAGGTAAGAATAAATTTAAATTAATTCAATCAGTATTTACCTATGTTCTGCATGTAATTATTTCTATAGGTATCACTGATTTTTATTGAGAATAAACGTAAAATAACCGAGCACCACGTGATATGAATTTTCTCTTATTTCTTATAGGCAATCCATAGTTTTCTAAAATGTCTGGGGGATGTGGAGGAGGATGCGGGTCCAGAAGATCTATTAGCTTGATGAACGAGTCAGATAGATCGCCCAGCAGATACAGTTATGCTCCTGATCCTAATACGGTTTACTATGAACAGGTAAGAATCTACAATAGTTATCAATTTTGTTTTGTCACAAACTGCATTAATTGAATGATTTTTTTTTTCAATTTCAGAGACAGACAACCTCTACGAGACGCATCGGGGTTCGATTACCCACACCCGAAGAAGAACGAATGATTTTAGCAGCTACTTCGCCAAGCAGCAACAGTCGCTATTTGATGAATTCGTCTTCGTCTTCGTCTTCGTCCAGACCCCGCGAATCTTCATATTCCAGGCAATATTTGGACGCTGGCCCATCAGTATCTCAGCGTTCCCTTTCGCGTTCAATTTCTCCTAGGATGTCCCCAAAGCATTCAACTTCGGTTTTGTCGAAGCTTTCGGCAAGCAGGCAGTCTACTATGATCGAGGATGATTTTGAAGACGAAGATCCATTTCCTGGTAGTTTCCAGGCTGGTTCATTTGGTTCTTCACGTAGAAGTGGTTGCGGATGTTAGGTAATTAAAAAATTTAGGCGCTGGTCTTCGCTATGTTTTTGTAGTTATTGTTTAAGTGTTGTAAAGCGAACTTTATATTTTTATTTTATATTATATGTCATGGTTTTCTTCTAAAGTGTCTAAATAAACCAGAGGGCGGGTAAATAATCATTAGATGCCTAAAAATCATTTTTTAAATAATAATTTTTCCCGTCTCTGCGCATATTTGAATACTTGCTATCGGTTGTTTTTTTTCCAAAATTACAACAAATAAATTTTGTAAAATTTATTTTGTTTGAACTTTTGGATTTGAAAATTGGTCGATGAAGTTTTTTGTTTAATGACTAGAACTAGTTTCGTATTTTTTATATTCTAGATAAAACTTTTATTATGTACTGTAGTTTTTATTAATAAATATAATTTTTGATTTGAAGACATAGGTACCTACCTACCTACTTTTTTTTATTTACTATTTAAAATCATGAAAAATTTTGAAAAAAAAGTTTTTTCATAATATCTACCTACAGCTTTCTTTCCCTAATTTGAATTATTTTTAAACTGACAAATGAACAAACATTATTTTCCAAGATTGAATTTGGAAATCAGAAATCAAGTAGTTCATTATCTTCATATCTTCCGTTGCTGAAAATGTTGAATAGATTTTAATCGAAATTACTTAGATAAAAAAACGTCAAACGGACTATGCTTATTCTGTAACTAGTGGCGAAAAGTAAAACATTTCATAGCGTTGAAAGTTTTCAACTACTAGTACATGAAAATTTATATTGACAAAACACTTAGGGCGAGTATTATAAATCTATTTTTTGTGCAACCATCCGTAAAATGAGCTTTCGCGGCCGCCACACAGTCCGCGAAATTCAATTTCGCGGCCGTGGCCCTTGGTGACGGCCGCGAAACTATAAATCAAAATTTGACACTTTGACAACAACAGGTAAATTTTATTTCCAAATTCTTCAGAACAACATAAATTATTTAGGATAAATATTAACACTTACGTGACAGTTTGCATTATTAAGTACTATTATTTACTCCTGAAGCTGAAGCAACTAATAAACCAGTGTTTTTGAATTGAACTCTCAAAACTTCCCATTTCTGCATTAAATTAGCCAATATATTTTCAGACATCATTTTGACGTTTTGTTTGTCACACCAATTTTTTGAACTCACAGTAACAATTTTCCTATTGCCGCTTAGTTTTCCAGGTATTAACTCAGAAATAGCTGATTAAACCATATTTTTTTAGCTCTGTAGGAGTGCAAGAGAGTGAAACATCTGTATCGCTGTCGGATATTTTCACGATTTTTTGAGAACTTCCAAAATTTTTTGTGTATTTGTTTACTTGCAAAATATGTCATCCATGACATCCATAGAAATGCTGTGCCACTATAGCCACCAGGTTATACATCAAACTGATAATTAGTTCCACATGTTTGTTGAAAAGACTACATTTTTTCTGTAATTCCACATAATTTTCATGGTTGCACAAAAAATAGTGTGTATACCATGACCGCGAAACTTTTTAGCGTCCTCGAGATTATCTTGCCTCGGCCGCAAGCGGCCTCGGCGATAACTTTTCTCTACGTACGCTAAAAGGCACTTCGCGGCCTTGGTATACAAATAACTATTAACAGAATAACTAAAAGTTAACTTCTGGAATCACGTTACTTCTCATAGTAATTCCAGAAGTCAGAAGTTAACTATTAGTTATCTGTGAAAATTGTTTTATAATACCCGCCCTTAGGAAGTATAATAAGCTTGAAAGATTGAAAAAAATAATGGGAAGCGACAAATATAAAAAAAAGGAAATATACCTGGGTCATTGTCCACATTTTGACTAATAGGTAACTTTTTTTTTTGTCGTTTTGGACACATGGTTTACATTATTTGACATTATTAAAAAGCGCCAGAAAAAGTTAGTTTCGGGTATAAAAGATATTCCATAAAGTCAAAGACATGTCAAAACAGTGATACTTTTTTTTTTAATGGAATACCCTGTATATTATTACATTTTTGCATTCTTCTGAAAATTCTAGATCTTTATTAGCATTTTCAATAGATGCTCTTCTATAAAGACTCAAAATCTTGAGTTATATACAAATTTTAATGGGTGCTAGGATGTGAGGAACTTATTTCTCAGTTCTAATTTGCGTTTCAAAATCAATTTCACGATCATTACATATTTTGATATGACAGATTAGGTAATACAATGCAAGATGAAGAATACTTTTCTAACATCTTGACAAAGTGATGACATTTTTTTGACCTTTGAAGAAAAACAATTTTTTTATTAATTCATTGTAATTTATTACCTAACTACAAAATATAAAGAAACATAGACGTTTGACACAAATAGGGTAGAATCTGAGGTAAATTAAAGCTTTGCACCATGGAATAATACTTGTTATTTCATTATTCATATGAGTGGTTTGTTCTTGACATCATAATGGGCTGCCGGCTGCAGTGAATCCTAGCTCTATAATATTGTTGCGAAAATTTGGCGGAAGCACCAGGGTGTACAGATAGGACAGCTGCTGATTCTAGATTTTGCGGTGCTGTTCGGAAAGGAAGGTTATCGCGTTTATTCTGGATTTTGCGGGAATAGATTGCGGATATAGAAAGGCTTATATTAGTTAGTAGTTTTAAGTTTAAGTTTGGCTATTAAGTATAGGTACGATTTAAATAGTCAATATTATTAAGAGTTGTAAAAACTTAAGCTGTTTGAATTAATTAGTGAAGTAATTAGTGTCAGAGTGTAGGTATATAACGTGGAATAAATTATTGTTGTGTTAATTGGACTTTGATTTTGGAATAAGCGGACCCAAGATTTCTGTCACGCACCCCATAGCCGTGACAATATTTAAATCTGCCTTCGCATGAGATCGAAGAACCACAACTGAGTAGCAATGAACATCCAATAAGGCTTGCATCCGGAAGAGTAGGGTACTCATTGTTTGGTTATGTCATTCGGTCCCAACTCCCTTTATTGTAGTCAGGGATATCAGGCGATTTATATAGTCATCCCTCCAAATGAATGCGGTAGTGAGCAGCGCTCGCTTCGTATGCTGAATGGCGAATGCTGTTGTGATGGTGGGGTAAAAAAATCCGTTTATCAACATCGAAATTCTCCACTATTTTTAACCCTTCGTTAGTGTTCACTAAAAAAGTTACATGAGAGGTGTTCCGGGATGTATCATAGCCCAATAAGAAATTCGATTGAAATGCAATTTTTTTTTCAATTTTTTTCCATTTTAAAGGTTACCTAAATATAATATTTTAATTAGTTAGTCCAATAAAACAAACAATATAGATAATACAGTTTGTATTTTAAAATTACGAAAGAAAAATGATGGGGAATCAATTCTGCCTCTGCCTTGCAGAAAAGGAAGAGCAACTATATTTTAAATTAAACAATACAAAACCAAGTAGGTATTACGTACTACTCTCAAAATTGTTTTTGGAAAAATATCTAAAAAATTATCGTACAACTTTAATCAAACCAATTTCATTAAAGTTGAAAAATTTACATTGTTCCTACCATTTAAAATCCTGTCCACCCTAACCGTCTTTGCAGTAATCTGATTTCATACTGAAGGTTCAGAGAGACGCTACTGTGGGTGCGTTCAATTACCATATGCATGAACCAAAGCTACTGGGCGCTAGACGTCTGTAGCTGTTAGTTCAGTTAGTTTTACAGCTGTAAATAGCTGTGATGGGGTATGATATACCCCATAACACTAACGAAGGGTTAATGGAACACCCTGTATAACACAACATCAAAGAAAAGGAGAGTTCAAGGTATCCATGTAGGTATAGTTGAAATCACGTTAGAAAGTGAAGTTGACAGTTCGCGTTGACTTTTCTAGTAACTTTTTCTTTAGGTTGCCAGCATGCGTTAGCGCTTCGATTCAGTCAGTTGGGATAAACGACAGGGTCGTATTTAGAAAAGTTATATGCATTTCAGAATAAAAATGTATTCTCAATTTCTTTAAAGGAAGTTAATGAAAATCCTGCATAGTAAAATTAAACATATGTAATCGAACAAACGTAATACTTTTTAATAGTTGTTGCACTTGAACCTAAAACCAGGTTTCAAACGCAACACCGAAACACAAAAGCACAGAACACTACATAAAAAAACGAAAAACCCATTGCCAATATAACAAAATATCAAAAAATTATGCAGAAAACGGCAAAAAACTGAAACGATTTCACACAAAAATTCGAAATTCAAAATTCAAAGATCCGAATCTGATATTTTTATATGTCAAATCAGAATGTCACTTATCATTATTTGATAGTTGACAGAAAACGGACAGATCTGGGGATTTTATTTACTTTCAACTGGTGAAAATAACGGTCAAAATTCAAATTCTATCGTGAATTCAACTATACCAATAAACATAGTCCCTGAAACTTGAAGTTTTAGCCTTTAAAAATAAAAATCGAAATCCTAATTTTTGCAAACCCATCGTTTATTAGCGTATTTACAAAGCTTGGAACTTGAAGTCTGTTTTTTTTCTAATGATAATTCCCCAAGTCAAAAATTTAGTAACTGCGGCAACACAAGCCTTTTCTACATAAAAAAATTGAAAGCATTGACAATTTTACATTGTGTTGCCAACATAATGTCATTTTGACTTTTATCTTTAAAATAAAAAACAGGGGCGATTTTCGATTTTCCCCTATTATGAAAAATAGCTATAAGTTTGTTATTTATCAATTTTTTTTATTTCTGTTAAAACATTTGGAGATACTTTTTTGAGCACAATCCAGTGGCGTACTCAGTTTTTTTTCTGTTTCGCTCCGATTTCGAGATATCGACCAAAGTTCGATATTTTTAAATAAAACACCCTATATATTAATAGCTCATTGGATAGCTCTATTTTTGTTGATTTCAATGATATAAAGTTCGATGGGTTTATCTCTAACAGTTTTCGAGAAAAAAAATTATATCTGTTTTCGTCATACGGACCAATGTGTTAGAAAAGGATTTTATATCTGTAAGGAAAATGAGGAAGGTCTCTTTTTAACACATTGATTGTGCTTAAAGAAGTATTCCAAAGATGTTTTCACACAAATAAAAAAAAATTGATAAACAAAAAACTTATAGCTATTTTTCATAATAGGGGAAAATCGAAAATCCCCTCTATTATTGGTACCATTGAAGATATCGCGATACGGTTTTTGACAATCGACGTTTCTCGAAAATCAATCCCATGACATCTAAGTCAATTTTTCTCTATCTTGTCTGGAAGTATGTTTTTCCTGTTAAAGCACTCCAAATTGCAGTACCCTGTACAGTGTGCACTTAGTGCGATATCGGATGATATCTCCTTACAGGTTGTTCGATAGATACTCT